TCACCATACTTGTATAAGTAAACTCGTATGGTGCCCAAAGACCATAGTGGTCACCAGTAAACATGATAAATCGTGTAGACGACGCCACCTCCCTCACCAAAATGGCAGCTCCCAACCTACTACTATTGCTGTTATTACACTCTATACACACGTTATATATGAGTATCTACATTTATGTTCACCATAGCGAACCACTAAGCTGGTATGGTGAGTGCAGTTAATACAGGGTGGCCACACACAGTCAGAAGACAACGCCACCACCCTCCTTCCCACAGCATTACTCCTCCCTCCATGGAGCACAGCGCTAAATATTACCACAATCCTGCTATTATCAGAACCCTGGTCAGTTTTATCACAGTCAGGGATCTTCTGTAATATTATCATTGCTACATAATAGCATGAACAAGTATATTAGGGCATTTTTAGGCGATGCTGTGGTCACAAGCTGAACTGTAGTGCTGTGAGCTCATGCTGCGTGCGTCAGGCTTGGTAGCTCACTCAATACTGAGGCCCCTAACACCTGGGAATTTGGCCCACGATTTAAAAAAAAAAAATGGCGTCTGTTTACAAGAGCCCTGATGAAGGTGTGGTGAACCCCATGTATCCGCGGGCCGTTTAAATCTTGCATAGTACTCCAAAGCATCATATGATGCGATGCGCAATTTACTGCAAGTCTGTCAGAGCATCATATGATGCGATGCGCAACTTAAGGGTTAAGCCTCTAGCTGGCACATTAAGTTGCTTGTTTCTGTTTTACTTGGATGGACTATGAGTATTTATGACTTGTATGGTCGCTTCAGTAAGATTTTGTCCCATGTGTTTGTGTGAGAGAGTGTCTCTCAAGATTCTCCCACAGCTGACTGGAATGGCTCATTGCTGTGCACAGTGCACCGATCTTGTGCACAAGGTCCTATTTCTGTTAACCCTGAATAGTGACCTGGCATGTTGGGTATCTCCAGAATGCCCACTTAACCAGGAACACTTTCATAATATGGAGGCTGCCGTATGTCCAGGCAGGAAGTAGATACAGGGAATTAAACATACTTGCCACCAAAGGGTCAGGGAGTACATCGGTGGTGGAGCGTGGGACAGAGGGGAGACGCTAGCAGCGTCTGACCTCTGGGGTCAACCGGCGCGATGGACAATAACAGCTATGACATGTTCGTGACGTGTTCATGACGTCACTCCTGCTACTGCTCATCGAACGAGCTAATATGATTGGTTCCCGCTCATTTGCTGCAATGCCATTGGTCAAATTGTAATCCCCTTGTGTGTGCCACAAGACGCCCTGAGTTTCAGGCAAACACCATTCTTGTGAGGGATCTCTAGCAAAGTGGACGTGTTCTGTTCAGTCTACCGGCCAATAGACTGAACACCGTCTATTCCTCACCGTCAAGTTAACTCAGCGTCTGAAGATTATACGACACACTCGCCCAGAATCACGGGTTGTGAATATATTATTCAGAAGCCTAAAGTGACAAATCTCCAGAGCAAAACAGACTGGTATCAGGTAACCCCTGGTGACAAAGATCGTTGTGAGTGACTTAGAGTGAACTAAGGCCTAAGTAACCTGTGTGTGACTTTACCACAAGTGTACCTGCATGGTACCACAGCCGCCACTCGTCCCGAGCGTGTACCCCAGTACCCTAGTACCTCTGTACCTCTGTGCCTCGAGCGCCCGCCGCCACCCTCACTACTACGTGACGTCACCACCTTATTCGCTGCCAGTGCCAGTGTGTGTGCGTGTGTCTGTGTGTTAAGCATACAGCCCGCCCTACTGCAAGTACCCTCCGTGTCTACGAGCGAAACCAGCTGTCAGGCCACCTACGAGTGCTTGTATAAATGTGCCTGAGTGAGTGAGTAAGGAAAGGTACCCATCTGTAAGTACAAAGATCTTGTCATTGTTTTATTGTGTCTGTGTTGATCTGAGGGATCAACCACAGTTCTCACCTTCTCATACCTGTCACAGGTTATAGGTGAATCGACGGTGAATGCATGTTTATCTGTGTGGTATCACTGCATTTCACTAGTCTGTGAATGTGAGCTTCACATACACCACACATTTAGTTATTGTGTGAGATTATTATTGTGCATGTTATTGCCTGTCCCATTGACAGTGTAGTTGTTGATTTATTGCATATCATCATTACCGAGTATCCGGTTGGAACTCTTGTGATCCCTTTGCATACCGGCAGTTAGGTTGCCGTGTTAATGATTGGCTGTCAACTGTGTTAAGTTAGGTGGTTCTCCACGAGTGGATACGAGTCGTTTAGCCAGACGTCAAGAGTCTCGCTAATATAACCATAGCTTTGCTGACGCCAATCTAAAGTAAATCAAGCACCCTGTGTATTAGTGGTTAAGTTAGTAAATAAACTACTGTTAAGCTTTATGCGGTGTTTCCGTTGAACCACTTCTGAATACTGCAAATATTACACAAGCCTTCAGCTCTAAGTGTCTTCAACACCGAGTTGCCTATAAGTCACAAACTATAAATGTGATGAGGACCCTAGGAGTCCCTTAAAGTGTTAAATCATTGAGGAGATTCCAACGATCAACGTGGAGCAGGACCAGGTGAGACTAGTCTGAGAAGAGACCCTCAAGGACTCTAACTCGACCTTGCTCCCAGGCCCTGTACGGTTGCTCTCGTATTTTCTATTCTGCAAATTCCGACAGCTTCGTGAAGCGTCTGCCACATGTACATTGGCGACGTACGCATTGCAGTCGTGAAAGCAAAAAAGAAACACCCCACAGTTTGTTCAACAACAACTTCATTCAACTCTGTTGAACCTTAGTTGAAATCTTAATGGGTTTGTAACTCGGCACTGTGTTAGATAATGTTCCAGTAGTCTGTCGGGCATTTCTCCACAGTGCTGACGTTTCCTCTCATCTTCCAGAACCTGTAAGCCTATTTCCCATGCACATGGGTATCCAAACCTGATGTGATGTACGTGTACTTCTGTTGTTCTACTGCTCTCTTTCATCAGACTAAGTGGTTTGTTGATGCTTGAATTCTTGTACTAACCCCCAGATCCTGATGTTGCAACTGCTGTACTACCTAGTTGTGCTTACGGGGGTTGAGCTTTGTCTCTTTGGTCCCGCCTCTCAACCGTCAATCAACTGGTGTACAGATTCCTGAGCCTACTGGGCTCTATCATACCTACATTTGAAACTGTGTATGGAGTCAGCCTCCACCACATCACTTCCTAGCGCATTCCATTTATTAATTACTCTGACACTGAAAAAATTCTTCCTAACGTCTCTGTGGCTCATCTGGGTACAAAGTGTTGTGTTCAATGTACATCTTCTGCATTGCTCTGTTTCTAATTACTTTCTTAATCTGTGATAGACTCTGTGGTATGTAAATGTCTATATTTCTTCAGTTAGTTGCAAGTTTGCAGCTTCGTCTGCAATGTCATTTCCCATTATTCCCACATGACTCGGCACCCAGTTGATAAGTACCCGACGGCCTTGACGTTTGAGTGTTTGCATTAATGATAAGACATTTGTGCTCAGACGGATGTTGTCATGTATGTGTTCTTGTTGCAAGGTTTCAATGGCGGTTCTCGAATCTGTATGTATGATAACATGTTGTCGGTGTTCAGCAAGAGCATGTTCCAAAGCCTTTTGAATGGCTAGCATCTCTGTTTGTAAAGCTGAACACCCGTTTGAGTCTCCAACTATTTACAGAGTTTCCTGCTTTAACTGCAGCTCCGGTTTCTTGTCCCTGCTGGCTAACTGATCCATTTGTGAAGTATGTAAAGATATTGGAAACTACTGACAGTCAAGCTCTGATATTAATATACAATGCAGCATAGTGTGATTGGCATGCACTGTTTGTACTTACAATTGATTTAGAGATAATGCACTTATTTTGGTATTTTTTATAAGTCTCTGAATACCTATTATTACTCATACTGTGCCTATCTAGGCATGTATCAGTATCATCCTACAGTTTAATGACTTAACATCTTACTAAAAACAAATCATAATGTTCAATGAATTATAACCCCTAAAATTTACTGTACAAGACAAATTGTGATGATTTTTGTAATAATCATGAATGAACAGATTCATAGAAAAATTATTATGACATTTATTCTATACAAGTACAAGAAGCCCATTTCAAGGTCTGCAAATTTCAGTGTAAGGTAGAACACAAGAAATGCTTTTTCATTAAAATGGTGACTTGTAACACAATCACCAGACTGGAAACAGGTCTGTATTTCTGATGCCTGTTAACCTATTAGTTAATAGGTAAGAATATTATAAGGAGGTATAATTGAAAGTACGGAGATTGCATAATAATATAAAGTATGGTGCCAGTAGTACACTTGAGCTCGTTCTCGACTCACAATCAGGAATTCTGGGTTCGAATCCTGGGATGAGGAAAAAATGGTTGAGGGCATTTTCTATAACTTAATGCCCCTGTTTACCTAGCAGTCATAGAGGTGCATCGAAGGGAGGGTCAATAATTCTATCTTGGGAGAGCTGAACCTTAATATATGCCTAATATGTATATACAGTATACTGACTGCCTGTCCCCCGACACAATGGAATTATTAAATTATTATAAAGCCATTGCAACACAAAGCAGGTACCCAAGGTGAAGGAAACTTTTAAAATCCCACCAGACCACAGCTCTAAATTTTGGCTTCGATTGTAAACTTATGACAAAAATATACATATATAATTCACAATTCACTGTGTCAGGGGACAGTTAGCCAGAGTGTATTCATACATGTTAGACTTTTATCGAGGTCACCCCCTCCCCTCCCCTCCTCCTAAGGCCAAATTACTGACCCCGCCCAGGATGCAACCCCACAACAAGCTGACTAATTCCTGAGTACCAACTCACTGCTAGGTGAACAAAGTCCTTAGGTGAGAGGAAATGTGCCCAACCATTTCTGTCCCGCCTGAGATTCGAACCCGGAATTCTAGCTTGTGTTTCGAGAACAAACCCGACTGTATTACTGGAACCCGACGGTAGTCCATACACTCACTAAACTCTTCTTCAGTTTGCACGAAGGTTCCTCCTCCCGATGACTACCACGAGTGGTGATGGTGACATCTGCGGCACTCACAGTTACGCAGCAATGTTCATAACTTGCCAGAGAGTGGAAGGTAACGATGGCCCGCACTCGCTGCAGAGCTTCCCGAGCGCCGACTGTTGTTGTCTGACAATGTTGATGTTGTTGTGGAGCCGTCGTGCAGGGCCTCTCCTGTTGTTGTACCCCGGCCCCCTTGTCTCCCTCCCGGACCCCTTGTCTCCCTCCCAGCCCCCTTGTCTCCCTCCTAGCCCCTTGTCTCCCTCCCGGCCCCCTTGTCTCCCTCCCGGACCCCTTGTCTCCCTCCCAGCCCCCTTGTCTCCCTCCCAGCCCCCTTGTCTCCTTCCGGCCCCCTTGTCTCCCTCCCGGCCCCGCTGTCTCCCTCCCGGCCCCCTTGTCTCCCTCCTATCCCCTTGTCTCCCTCCCGGCCCCCTTGTCTCCCTCCCGGCCCCCTTGTCTCCCTCCCAGCCCCCTTGTCTCCCTCCTAGCCCCTTGTCTCCCTCCCGGCCCCCTTGTCTCCCTCCTAGCCCCTTGTCTCCCTCCCGGCCCCCTTGTCTCCCTCCCGGCCCCCTTGTCTCCCTCCCGGCCCCCTTGTCTCCCTCCCAGCCCCCTTGTCTCCTTCCGGCCCCCTTGTCTCCCTCCCGGCCCCGCTGTCTCCCTCCCGGCCCCCTTGTCTCCCTCCTATCCCCTTGTCTCCCTCCCGGCCCCCTTGTCTCCCTCCCGGCCCCCTTGTCTCCCTCCCAGCCCCCTTGTCTCCCTCCTAGCCCCTTGTCTCCCTCCCGGCCCCCTTGTCTCCCTCCTGGCCCCCTTGTCTCCCTCCCGGCCCCCTTGTCTCCCTCCCGGCCCCCTTGTCTCCCTCCCGGCTCCTTTGTCTCCCTCCCGGCCCCCTTGTCTCCCTCCCTGCCCCCTTGTCTCCCACCCTGCCCCCTTGTCTCCCTCCCGACCCCCTTGTCTCCCTCCCGACCCCCTAGTCTCCCTCCCGGCCCCCTTGTTTCCCTCCCGGCCCCTTTATTTATGTATTTATTTATTTATTTATATATATACAAGAAGGTACATTGGGTTTGTGAGAATACATTGGATAGTACAGTATTTACATTCTTGTAAAGCCACTAGTACGCGCAGCGTTTCGGGCAGGTCCTTAATCTAACAGATAATTTTAAGTAGGTAATTTCTATCAGAATTGATAAATGACAAAGATACATTGCAAGAGAAAAATGAGATGAGAGAGCTTAGTAAGTATATTAAAGCACATTGTTATATTAAAGCTCTGATTGATTACATTGACAGCTTGATTAGTAATTTAAACAAGATTAATATGGTCACTGCTTGCTTGATGCAAGCGGGGATGTTTCTGGCGGGGGAGAAGGAAACAATTGCGCAGCGCGTCCCGCGGCGTTGCGCGGGCAGTTTGGGGCCCTATAAATACGGGCGCACAATGGGGCTCTGCCCTCACTCCGCCTGCCCTCGCCGCTGCCCTCGCCGCTGCCCTCGGCCGCTGGCCTGCGGTGGGGGTGCAGCGCCGGTCCCCAAGTGTCCCGCTGTCCGCAGCTAATACTTTGCCCAGTCTAGGTGCTAGTAAGCCCTACTTGTAGTCACCCCCTTCTCCTTATTCATTAGGTCTTTCCACCCTCTTGGTCGGGTACATTATGTGTTATGTGGTCTCTCACTTATTAGTTACTCTTTGTGTCCTGCCTGTTATATCCTAGTGTTATATAATTACTCACATTTGCATTCGGCCTTAATTCTAGTACCAGTTAAGCTTTACGTTTCTGCAGAATTAGTTTCCATGTCACTATAGGCTAAGGTCTCATAATTACTACGGGTGTACCTTTTAAGTTAAATCTAGTCCTCGGACTTGGAATTGTTACTGTTAATTCTTACTTTATATATTTACATGTTCTGCAGAATTTAATCTTCAATAAACTTTAACGCCCCATGCTGCCTGTATCTTTCTCCCCCTGGACAGAAAAGACACCATACAGCAGATTGACAGCACATATAAGACAGCAATGATCACAATGGTAAAGATGTTCAGATTGGGTACATAAAGATTGGGAGATTGGGTAGCAAAAGATACAGATAAACAAGATTTATAAACACCATACAGCAGAATGGCAGCACATATAAGAAGACAGCAATGATCACAATGGTAAAGATGTTCAAATTGGGAACATAAAGGTTGGGAGATTGGGTAGCAAAAGATACAGTGCAATGTTAAGGCAAAAAGTGAAAAACTATGAAGATGAAATTAGGTACTTTTTAGAATTGATTTTGAATGATGTAAAAGTTGGACAGCTTTTCAATTCAGTAGGGAGAGAGTTCCATAAACTGGGTCCCTTTATTTGCATAGAGTGTTTACACAGATTAAGTTTAACTCTGGGGATATCAAAGAGATATTTATTTCTGGTGTGGTGATAATGGGTCCTATTACATCTGTCCAGGAAGAGTTTCAGAGCAGGATTTGCATTTAAGAACAGGGTTTTGTAAATGTAGTTGACACAAGAGAATTTATGGAGTGAGATTATGTTTAGGGAGTTAAACAAGGGGGCTGTGTGTTGTCTGAGAGCAGAATTTGATATTATTCTGATAGCAGATTTTTGCTGGGTGATGATGGACTTGAGGTGGTTTGCAGTGGTGGTTTGCCCCATGCACAGATACCATAGTTGAGATAGGGATAGATTAGTGCATAATATAGAGAGATGAGAACAGAGTTAGGTACATAATATCTGATTTTGGAGAGTATACTAACTGTTTTAGAGACTTTCTTAGTTATGTGTTGTATGTGGGTACTGAAATTGAGTTTCTTGTCTAGGAATAGGCCAAGAAACTTTCCATCATTTTTATTGCTAATGCTTACATTGTCTATCTGAAGCTGAATTGCATTTGTAGATTTGCTTCCAAATAGGATGTAGTAGGTCTTTTCTATGTTAAGTGTTAGTTTGTTGGTTGACATCCATAAGTGGACTTTTTTTAGTTCATTATTAACAACATCATTTAGTGTATGTGGGTTGGGGTTGGAGTAGATGAGGGTAGTATCATCAGCAAACAAAATAGGTTTCAGAATGTTAGAGACATTAGGCAGATCATTGATGTATATAAGAAATAGAAGAGGTCCCAAGATGCTGCCCTGTGGCACTCCAACAGTTATTGGTAGAATGGGAGAGGTTATATTATTGATAGCTACACATTGGTGTCTATCACTAAGATAGGATTGGATATAGTCCAGTGCATGGCCTCGGATTCCATAATGATGGAGTTTACATAAGAGGTAATCGTGATTAACAGTATCAAAGGCCTTTCTCAGGTCAATGAAGAGTCCAATTGGAAACTCATTTTTGTCAAGGGCTGAGTAAATTATATCAAGGAGACTAATAATTGCATCGTTGGTACTCTTTTGAGAGCGGAAGCCAAACTGACAGGGGCTAAGAATGTCGAATTTTACGAGATAGGAGTAGAGCTGTTTGTAGATAATTTTTTCAAATATTTTTGATAGTATGGGTAGGTTCGATATTGGTCTATAGTTGTTTATGTCTGCCGGATTACCTCCTTTATGAACTGGCGTTACTCTTGCTTTTTTAAGGATATCAGGGAAGGTATGACACTCAAGGGATTTGTTGAACAGCAGAGCTATAGGTGGCGCAAGGGCATGGGAGGCGCTCTTGTATACAATGGATGGGATTTCACTGATGTTCCCAGCTTTGGTTTTTAGTGAGTGTATGATGGACACAACATCTGTCGGGCTGATTGGTGAAAGGAGAAGAGAGTTTGGATAGCTGCCTGAGAGATATGTGTTGATGTGTGTCTGAGTCTGTGGGATTTTACTTGCAAGGTTAACACCAATCGATGAAAAGAAGCTATTAAATTCATTCGCCATTTCTAAGTCAGATGACGGTGTAAGGCCATCCTTAGAGAGTGTTATCTGGTTGTGGGAGTGTTGTTTAGTTCCTAGGATATTAGAGATGGTATTCCATGTGCTTTTCATGTTGCCATTTGCTTCTTTGAATCTAGTCTCATAATATGAAAGTTTTGCTTTTCTTATGATACTGGTAAGCACTGATGAGTACCTTTTAACTACTTCCTTTGAAACTAGGCCACTCCTAAATTTCATTTCATATTCATGTTTTTTGTTGATTGATTTAATTATGCCACTTATGAGCCACGGGTTATTTTTTCTTTTATCAGTTACTTGTTTGGTAAGGAGGGGACAGTGGGTGTTGTAGAGGCTTAGAGTTTTGGAAAGAAAGAGGTTGAAGAGTTTATATTCTGTGAATTATTAAATTCAGATTCCCAGTTAATATTGTGAAGTGCATTAGAGAGATTGCCTAAAGGTGATTCACTATGTAGCCTGAAATGGCCACTGCCTTTTGAACGAAAGGCGGTGGAGTTTCTGATGGGGAAGGAAGAGACAATTGAGTCTGTCCTGTCCTGTCTGTGGGTGCAGAGTCTGTCCTGTCTGTCCTGTCTGTCCTGCCCTGTCTGTCCTGCCTGCCCTGTCTGTCCTGCCTGCCCTGTCTGTCCTGCCTGTCCTGTCTGTCCTGCCTGTCCTGTCTGTGGATGCAGTTTATAGAATTCCTAACACTTATGTGTCCGAATTCAACTCAAACCTTAGAAATCTAATACTTGATAACAGACTGAACAAAAACCACCTAATTATTGCAGGGGACTTTAATATTGACCTCTGCGAGCCAGAACACCCTACTGCTGTTAGCTTCCTCAACTGTATGAATTCCTGCTTCCTCATACCCTTAATCACTAGACCTACTAGAATCACTGATAGCACTGCCACGACTCTAGATCACATCTGGACAAACATAACCTCTCCGCTTACTTCAGGTATAATCACCGATAGCACTACAGACCATTACCCCACATTTCTCTTAACTAACATTAGCAAACCACCTCTTGAGTCAAGAGAGATACGTTTTAGACTACACAATGAAACTGCTATAGACAATTTTATAACTGCTACTGATAATGTCAACTGGGAGTCCGAGTTAGGTAACATAGAGGACATCAACCTAGCAGTTCAATCTTTTCTTCAAAAAACTCTTAGCCTTTATAATACCCACTGTCCTATGCTTACAAAACAAGTCACAACCAAAAGACTTAACAATCCCTGGCTTACAAAGGGAATACTTAAATCTATTAATAA